AACAGCTGCTTCTGGCTGCACATATAATACAAATATACAACTCCATAAACACACTTTTGCTGATATTTGTGTTACTGCTGCTGGTTAAATAACATGATTGATTTCCTCTGTCTCAATGATGAAAGTTATAATAATAGAAGACATGAAGCTGCAGAGAGAGGATGGATATATTCTTCCCTCTACTTTGTGATTAGATGAAAATACAACATTGAATTAAAATAGTAATTGTTAAACACATTGTTTATTTCATTTACTGAGGTTTTAACCATTATTTACAACATGCAACATAAGCAGTTGAATAATAGGATATCTCTAGGTCATTAAACTGTCTTAAGTTCAGTTTAGTTATATCAATACAGAACATAGGCCATAGAAAATGTTTAATTGTGTATTTCAGCAGAGCGGGGGGTCACGGTGCTGCTGGACCTGGAGGTGCTGACCTGGTGTCAGTGGGACATCATCTGGGCTGGTTTAGGGGAAGAAGGAGAATATAAACTGTTATAAACCTGTTTATATCTAAGATATCTAATCTTAATATTTTAGATATTAAGATTAGAAAAGTAATATTGTTATTGCTTTTGCTCATTTAAAAAAACATTGTTTTATTATTACAGAAAATGTAGGCTTATTTTAAATATGAAATAATATGATTAAATGACATCAGCTATACATAATGTGCTTGTTAACTTACTAATGTAACATTACTGGGGGCTAAAGGAACAGCTTAATCCTATTTACCTGGCCATTGTCCTCTTTATTTCATCACCGTCGGTGATCTCCAAAAATGGTTAAAGTAAAAAAGTAAAAGTAAAGTTTCTGGATCCTTTTCAGCTGAGTTAGCTTGTAAGCTAATTTGCTAGCAGGCTAATGGAGCAGCGCAACAGAACAGCGCGTATCACGTGACGTAAATACGAAGTGCTCGGTAGGCTGGACCGTCTCATTTCAGAGGCCGCTCGGTCCGGCCAACCCCCAGGAAGTGCGCCGGACTCTGAGGAAAATATTCGTTGTGGCCAAACGGCGGTACTACACTTCCGTATCAGTCGCTGGGCCCGGAAACACTTTTTCCCATTGACTTACATTGGGAAAGAGTGGTCTGTAAATCGTTGGATCATTTTTTTGTAACTAAATAAACTACCCAGTATGAACACTTGTATAGCCCTTATTAAAAACATTCGGTCCTCAAGTTGTAAAATGTGCTAATAACGTTATTCTGAGAGTTATTTTCCTCGGCATTATGAACGCAGATCCAACCCACGGGACCGCGCCGCCCGGCACGTTCATGTTAAGTGTTCAGCACTACATGAGTTTTACCTTTACCCATGGATGCACAATAAGAACGGATTATATGATTGTATGAATACTTTCGTGACGTTTCGCTCTCTCAAAAGTTGGGCCATTTTGTCTTCATGCCCCAATGAGCAACTCTCATAGGAATGAATGAGGCCCCGCCTCCCACGCTGTATCCAGTTCTTATTATACATCCATGGGTCGAGCCTACCCGGTCTACGTCGGCCGCGTCCATCGTTGACCGCGTAGGCTGGGTCCTCCAAGGATGCAGCCCCTGAATTGAGACACGGCCCCTGTGTTGTTAAAGTGGAGCTCAGTGTATCAGCAATCAGTGACTGGCTGGCCCTCAACGTATTACTACACTATGTAACTTCATAACGCATTTCAGCCAGTGTGACGATAGGGTTAAGGTTTGAATGTGCTTCAAACGTGAAACCAAATGAGTTAACCCAGAGCTAAGTATAATGAGAATGGTCTTTACTTCAGTTTATTACAACCAAGGGTTTGTTTTTGTAGTTTTGACACTGTTTCTATCAGTGTACTCACCAAATGAATGGGATTGCAATGGCATTGGTACAAACACAATGAAGAAATGGTCATACATCACAGCTAAACTTATTGTGAGCGGAAATGAAAGCGATCATACAATGTTTACAAAGTAGTCTAGTGTCTAATATTGTTACGTTAATGTTTACCCCCTAATAAAGTAGCTTCAGCAATCTGGCTTAATTGTATTCTTGTTTCAACCAGTCTTATGTCTTGGTGATGTGTTTCTTTTAGTAGTAATTTAATTGTTCATTAATTATATTATGATCATTATGGTAAAATCTTTAAACACATATGCTGTATGTTCATTGGCTGCATACCTTAACCAAATAAAAACAACCTTTGGACCTGAAATCATTCTTTGGGCCTTCGAAGGTCCCCATTCTAATACATTCAGAAAGACCTAATGAGCTCAATACATAATGTTTTATGCACAATGTAGCATTTTGTCTCCACCGGGTAACAGCGGCGATGCACCCTCTTACCTTCAGCTTGCGCCTATACCAAAATGCCGGTTTTTACCCGTAAAATGTTAAAGGTCAGCGCCCTCATATTATGTTTTTCTAGCAAAAACCCTAATGTTGTTACAGTGTTCCCAACCCAGATCCCAGCATGTATTTGTTGAATACAACTGATATTAATGATGGCCCTAGGACTAGACTTGGATATTTGATCAAAGTGAAAAGATACAGAATAAGAAAATTGCAAAAATGTAATCCACAGATGTACAAAAATGTTCAAACTTTCTGTTGTGAACCAACTTATATAAAACCTCATAAAAAGAAATCCTGTGTTTGGTTTTAGGAGGAAGTATGAACCGTTTTACAGCCGAGGTCTCTGAGAACTGATGTGACATTTACTGTCATCAGTTCAATATCGGCTCATAAATAATTCTCTTCATTAAGGGAATGTCATGAAACATTACGCTAAGAAAATAATGTGAGCTCTGTTTTGTATTCCTGTTATAAAAGGCCGGGGGATTTTAACACAACATGAGGGGTTTTATCACAACTTTACAGAAGTCATGATACCAGCATTGGTCCCACTATGGGGAATGTACAGTGTTACAGCAAAGAGTGTGCACATCCAAGGAAACACAAAAACAAGGAGCAGCATTATCGAAGTCAAATCAAAGTAGTGAAGTACCAGCCAGTAATAACCAGGCTTGTGAAGTAACGGACTGCATGAAGGAAAGGTAAATGTTTTTAGCGTTATTAGCAGGGTTATACTTGAAGTAAAGACGGATATACACTGAACAAAAATATAAACGCAACACTTTTGTTTTTGCTCCCATTTTTCATGAGATGAACTCAAAGATCTAAAACATTTTCTATATACACAAAATAACCATTTCTCTCAAATATTGTTCACAAATCTGAAAAAATCTGTGATAGTGAGCACTTCTCCTTTGCCGAGATAATCCATCCCACCTCACAGGTGTGGCATATCAAGATGCTGATTAGACAGCATGATTATTGCACAGGTGTGCCTTAGGCTGGCCACAATAAAAGGCCACTCTGAAATGTGCAGTTTTGCTTTATTGGGGGGGGTCTGGGGGGGTCCGAAAACCAGTCAGTATCTGGTGTGAGGGGTAGGATTAGGGGTAGGGTTAGGGTTAGGGTTAGGGTAATGTTGTGAATCTAGTGGCCCATGGTGGTGGTGGGGTTATGGTATGGGCAGGCGTATGTTATGGACGACGAACACAGGCCACTCGATTCACAACATTACCCTAACCCTACCCCTAACCCTAATCCTACCCCTCACACGAGATACTGACTGGTTTTCGGACCCCCCCAGACCCCCCCAATATAGCAAAACTGCACGTTTCAGAGTGGCCTTTTATTGTGGCCAGCCTAAGGCACACCTGTGCAATAATCATGCTGTCTAATCAGCATCTTGATATGCCACACCTGTGAGGTGGGATGGATTATCTCGGCAAAGGAGAAGTGCTCACTATCACAGATTTTTTCAGATTTGTGAACAATATTTGAGAGAAATGGTTATTTTGTGTATATAGAAAATGTTTTAGATCTTTGAGTTCATCTCATGAAAAATGGGAGCAAAAACAAAAGTGTTGCGTTTATATGTTTGTTCAGTGTATATTGATGCACATGCTTACACATTTTAAAACTTCACTTCTTACAGCTTTTATTGTTGGTATAGGCTACTGCCTGAATATGCTTAATGAAAGGCAGGTTTTCAATAAAATCTCTACACAAAGGACACATTTCTAACCAAATATCTTGGTTTCTTCTTTTCTAAGGTTACATAATACAATGAATTAAAGACCAGCTTATTGATGTCTATTTAACCTTTTTTAATATCACGGTAATCCAAAAGCAACAGAGAAACATTGTGTTCCTCTGATATTATACTTTGATTGCATTGTAAACAATGCCAACCCTGGTGATAGCATTGTTAGTGTGTTTCACCTAAGAAATAGACAGCCAGCAGTAACGATATTAAACTCTCTTAAAGAAGTATTGCACCTGTGTGTGGTGGGTAACCAGCAACCGAGCTGATTGTGCTGCTGCAGGGAGGAAAAGCGTATAAACCTAAGGAGCAGATTGTACAGTAGGGTGGTCCTTAAAATAAAAATGTACCTCTCACGAAGGACAACCCTATTGTAAAGTAGTGGGTTTTATTGCTGCAGGAGTTACGATTAGCAGCAGCAGCTTGCATTCTGGGATATTCTGGGTGAGGAGGTCTGGAAGCAGCAGGCCAGCTCTCCGCTCCTCTTTTCTTCTGAGCCTCTCTCTGTGCTCTGACAGACCGGGCTCAGATCAGATTGATGGGCCGGTTTGATTGAAGTCTCTTTGTCGCGCTGATGTCACGGCCAGTGATGGATGAGGCGCGTGCGTCGATCCAAATGCGCGCAAACTCCACTCCTGAACCCAAATGTCCCCCTCCCTACACACACAACACACACACACACACACACACACACACACACACACACACACACACACACACACACACACACACACACACACACACACACACACACACACACACACACACACACACACACACACACACACACACACACACACACACACACACACACACACACACACAAATACACGGTGGTTCCCCCTCTCATGCGACCGGCTGACCAACTTCTATCTCCCGGTCACCATAGGCGACGTGACTTAAATCCACGTGACCCACGGAAGAGGTAAGAAAATAAGTGGCTCTGAGAAAAAGAGAAAAGGAGAGAGGAAATAGTTACGGAAAAGAAGGGAGAGAAGAGAAACAGAGACAGAATTGATATGCGCGGAGCGTGACCTGTGTATAGGTGACTCGCGGCTCTCTGTCTTCTCGCGGTGCTTCCCTCTGTCACTCAGGATCCTTTGGAGAGCTCAGGTTGAGCTGCTGACAGAAAGGCCTTCTGTTGACGCACACGAACACACACACACCGCGGCGGAGCACATTACTCATGTGTTTCTGCTCGGGGACGCGCAGATCCCACTCTCTTTCCTCCATGTTGGAAGATTCTGACTTTTTATTTTTTATTTGATATCACTTTGCTTATTTAGAACATTTGTAGATTTGATATTCTTCTTATACTTTTACAAAATATTTTATTTTTGTTTGGACAGATCTAGTCTTGTGAATAACCGGGTTACACATCTCCAAATTGACTCTTGGAAAAACGTTTTTATGGAATCTTTAGACTTTTGATATATATTTTCTATTCAATTTCTGCTAACTTTGCGGATAATTTTAAACTTAATTCCGCCTCTGGTCTGCATGGACAACATGAACTCGTTTGTGGAATACTCCATCTGTAACATACCGGGGCCCGGCGCTTATTCTGCGCCTAAACCCGGATACCACCACCATCCTCTGGATCAGGGCTTCCCGGTGACCTCTGGCTCCTTCCATACGGGACCCAGCAGCTCTCCAGCTCTCGTTAACGGGACCAGAAGCGAAACAGGCGCCGGTGCAGCGGGTTACACCGGGGATGGGCGTCTGTACGGGGGCTCTGGAGGTGGAGGAGAGCATCCACAGCAACATCACGAACATCAGCAGACACACAACGGCTACCACCACCATCACCTTCAGACGCAAAGCGGGACTGTGTATAATAACGGGACCGGGGGCAGCACCGGGGTTTACGCGAGCCAGGCGTGCGCCACGGATTACACAAACGCGATAGGCCTCCCCAACACGGTACATTCCCAGTACTTCATGGATGAGTCAGCGGCCTCCACCTACTATCATCAATCAACATACCCGAGCTCGGCCCCCAGCTACGGGGCCCTGGCCGGGGTCTACTGCGGGCCTCAGGGCGCTCTGGCCGGGTCTCAGTACCCGCAGCAGCTCGGCGGGGGTCTGGACGCTGCGGGCTTCCTGGGCCTTCCACACGGAGGAGGTTATGGAGAGCTGCCGGTGTCACAGGACCGTGGGAAGGGGGAGGAGGAGGGCCAGCAGGCCGGGCAGGGGCAGACCTTCGACTGGATGAAGGTGAAGAGGAACCCCCCGAAAACAGGTAAGAAGAGGCGGATTCTATGGTGAAATGTGGTCCGTTGTGGTGCCTTTAGAGTATTAGCAGCATTATAAAGGGCCTCGGCCTGCAGATTACATGTCTCATAATCATTTGAAAGGTTTCCCCTGAGAAGCAATGGCTGTCATTGCAAGAGCTGCAGCAAAATGACCTAAAATAAGCTTTTATAAAACATGCGTAATAATTTTTGAAACGCTGTGGCGAGGTGCGAAATAAAACCCGGCCTATTATAAATACAATGTGACATGAAATGTAAAGTACAGTAGTTGTGTTCATTGATTATTTTGTAACAATACGAACGAAAGAGGTTAGCTTCCTCTAACATATCATATACATGATGTTACAATGTTAATAATATAGGCCTAGACACACGCGTTTGTTCCCCTGCAGGCCTCAGTTGTGATGTGTGTGTGTTCACAGATGGCTTTTCTGATGTAAATGTTACTTTCCGTTTGTTCTTTCCTTTGTATATTTCACTTGTCAAGTCTCAATTCGTTTCACTGTAAACAGACTGATATTTGTGACAAAAGAACAAAATATGTTTGTTACTGTCCTATCCACCCATGTTTCATGTGGAACATCAACACAGGTCCAATCCAGGTCACGTTTCATTATGATTACGCATTGGTTTTACAAGTTAAACGACAATACAATAACTGCTTTATGTCATAGGAGTTGTAGATTACATTTTTAAATGATGCTAACACCAATTGTCAGCGTAATCCTTTCGAGTGACAGAGTAAAGTTTAGCGCACATAATTACATAATACATGTTAAAAAAGATAACGTAGCCTATAACAAAAATATACTTTTCACAAGTTATTTTCTGCTTGGTCAACATTGGGTAAAAAGGTTACAATTTTCAAAATAAAATTAAACTTGGCCCCTTGTAGTTTAAAAGTAAAATAAATTAAATCGCGTTTATGTTAGAGACTTGTTCAGTCCTGTCTCCGGAAAGAGAGCAGGTCTGTGTCCTACTCTCTCTAATGGGTATATCAGACGTGTTACTTCACCCCTGTTATCTTTGACCCCCCCCCCCCCCCCCCCCCACACACACACAGAGAGAGAAACACAGACAGTCGGACCCCCACCCCTCTTTGTATTTGGTTCATACAGAACTTAAGCTGCATTTTCTCTGTAATGTCTACTTTCACCTGAAGTTCATGGTTGAACTCACTAACCACACAGGCCTCACACTCTGGATTTAAATAGCTTGATTAGCATTTCCGCTAACATTATAAATAGTAGGCTATTATAACCTAAGACATTAAAACAGTAGTTTCCAAAAGACATATTTAATTTAAACTGGGTAGACTTTTTGTTCTTTAATAATAATAGTTGCCTAATAACAATAACATTAGTAATAATAATAATAATAATAATAGTAGTAATAACAATACGCATTTTATGTAAAGCATATTTTCAAATCATTAAATACACACAGAAAATGCAAATAACCAAAAACCATCAATGTAACACATTATAGAGTTAAGCAGACAGAAAGTAGCTAAAAATCAAATGAAATCAATATTTAACAAGTAGGTAATTTAAAATTGATTATAAAGACAGTTCTCAGCCTTGATTTCCTTGTTCCAAAGTTATTCTATCAGTTCAAAAACACATTTCTAACCGCTTTTCTCTCCTCCTCTGTCTCTCTCTCTCTGTCTCTCCCTCTCCTCCACCCAGTCAAAGTGTCGGACTTCGGCCTCGCGGGCGTGCACAACAACGCCATGCGCACGAACTTCAGCACGCGGCAGCTGACGGAGCTGGAGAAGGAGTTTCACTTCAGCAAGTACCTGACGCGGGCGCGGCGCGTGGAGATCGCCGCCACGCTCGAGCTCAACGAGACGCAGGTGAAGATCTGGTTCCAGAACCGGCGCATGAAGCAGAAAAAGCGTGAGCGCGAGGGCGCCTCATCCACAGCGCGCTCCTCTGGTACCGACAGCGGTCTCAAGGAGCTGGAGGACACCGACAACTCCTCCGCGTCCACATCTCCAGGCGCGTCGCCGAGCTCGGAGACGTAGTTGGTGCAGCGACTTGACTTGTTCTGCAGAACTGTCACTCAGGTGTTGTGGGACAAAGATGGCCGTTTTGTTGTTCTGTTTAGTTTATTTAACAAATTATTTTGAATTGCCACTCACATGGCAGCAACAACAATGCACATCAAGGGTGACACAAGAAAGAAGAAGAAGAATAGTGGCCTGAGTCCGGCCCCCATGTAGTTTGGGGTTCGGTGCTTTGCTCCAGAAGGGTAATTGGCCCCCCTCCAGCTGCCAGTCCACACCTCATATATTTTATTCTCGGGGACTTGACAGGACGTATTTCAGAGGTGGTCCCTGGTGTAACGAGATTATGTACTGCACTATGAAATGCATTCCATGTTAGCCCACTTGATGTACTCCAGATTTCAGGTTTAAAAACACCAGCAGCTAAACTTCTGCATTCAAAGGTTGAGATCCAGTAAATTGCCCTGAAATTCAGAGGCTAAAGAGGCTGATCGACAGGGGCAGTGATCTCATATACTGTCGCGGGTCGGATTTGAACCCTGAGTCTGTAACAGGGAACCAAGCCCAAATATAGGTTTCCGTTAGCTCAACCAGGTGAGCTACAGTGGCACACGTTTTCAAAGTATTTTTGATCATCTACCTGGAATATTCGTTCAGACTCTGCAAGTTCTTCCTAACCAAACCAAAAGCACAACCGTACATGGAACCATATTTGGCATGCTGTGGTGCTGAAACCAACCTGTTGTAGGTACTTTAAGTGTTTCCCTGAGCTGGAGTCTGGGCCTTAGATTGCATCCAAATATAAGTCTGAACGGTTGCAAGATAAAAGCTAATACTTATAGTACACTTTCTTTCTGTCGATTCTCAACATTCTCAGAACTCTAAAAATCTAAAAGAGAAACAATTGAAGAAGAAAATTGGTTCAACTGAACACACAGTATGCCCACACTAAGACCACGCTGTATCCTTTGGTGTGCTTAACTTTGTGGTACATTTTCTATTTAAAAGACGGAAGCCAAAATGTTGGCAACCACGGCCTTATGGTGCTTTGGTGCTGGATCCTTCTGACAGCATGGATCAAACAGGATTAATCAGAAACCCATGCCACATTCAGAGCCTGAAAATGTGTTGTCAGGGACCAGATTCCTGAGTTTAGAGATATTTTTTGGAGAGATTGCCTCCCAAATGGGGGAGTTAGAAACTATTTTTAGCTATGGATGAACACTGTGAACAGGGATTTGATGATGATGATGGGATCCACTTTATCTTTATTGGATTTACAGGGTATTGGGTTATTCAGGGTGGACATAAGTATGCTGGTATTTAGGTTTTATCTCAGTAAAAGCCTTCATGATTGATGTAATTGGAGGGAAACTCGGGGATATTGTGTTGACATGAATATTCAACACAGAAAACTGTGAATTTGTGAATTAAAATATGATACCAGCCAAGCCTATAACTAAAAGAGCCTTATGATCAGGAATACAGGAAGCCTCTGATGGCAACACACGTTTGTCTTATCTCTTTGTAGCTATATTTTATACTTTTGAAACCTTAAATATTTTTTTGTTATTGTTTAAGTGGCGATTGCACTATGTGACAACAGGGTACATTTTTAGACAAATTCCCCCCAAAAGAAAACATAAACTTGAATATTATTGTTTTTTCTGTTCTGACCGACAAAAAGGCTGATTTACACGATTGTGTCAAATTTGAGAAGTGTGTGTGTGAGTGTGTATGGAGGGGGGGGGCATGTTTACAGAAAACTACTGAAAATATGCTCAATAATGCTGACATGCTCGTCAGAAACGTTTCCTTGCTCAATGGAAAATGCAGGAAATTACATGAAAACATGTTTGCCCTATCTCATGAGAATAAATTATTGGATGCAGTTGATGTGATTGATTATGAATCATGGGAGAAATGTGGAGGGGGTGCTTTCCCTTCTTCTTTTGTTATTGCTGAAGGTCATGATGCCTTAAATCTGACAAAGTAACTCGGAACACAATGTCTTACTTGTGTAATATGAAATCTCTGGGACTGTTATTTTTCATAAAGTTTTAAAATGAGAGCTGACTGACTGAGTTTTATCAGTTTTTCTGCCTTAGTGACGCTCTAATCATGTTCTGATTGTCTTTTTCTACTATAAGCTACCTCATTAAAGACTCTTCTGTCACTCCATTGCACTTGCATTGCACTTTTGATGATGTACTTCTTATACTGATCATTGTATGATACTAAGGCCCAGGAGACGAAAACGAACCGAGGTCGATATCAAAAAAGTCTTCCGTCAACACGGAATCGGCATAAGTTACGTGTCCGTCCACACGAGACCGCTCGACTAGTGGATTGTAAACGGGGGGAGCCTCGCTGCGGGGAAACTCTACAGATGGCCAGTCCGCCCCTGATAAATGTCTATGCACACGTAATTATTCATTATAATTTAAAAAAAAATTGAGAATGTTTTAAAAGAAAAAAAGGGTTAGGGTTACATTTTTGATTTGTAATCATCTCGCGACCCCCCCTCGGGGAACCCCTGTGGTAGAGGAGCTGTAGAGTTTGCACTAACATCTCTAGCATGGTCAGTAGCGTCTGGATCACGAACGCAACCCTGTGATCCGCCATTGTTGTTGTTGTTGTTGGCGAAACGCATCAGCAATGACGCGGGTGACGCAGGGGCGAGCAGCAGAGGTTGGGAGAGGCGGGGCTATGAACGTTTAGGACGTACACACGGTGCCGTGCCGCAAGCGTTACGTTACCAGACCTTCCCACTTTGGGATGCGTCATCGTTTTAGGGCTCTGTTTCCACGGTTCCGTTACGGCCTCGTGTGGACGTAGCAGATAACACCTGTTTCGTCTCCGTGTGGACGGGGCCTAATAAGACATGACTGAGGTTTCTTGCAATATCTCCAACATATCAAGCATTTGAAAGCCGTTCTACTTTACAAACAACTCAAATCTTTGGCCTGTTCAGAGGAACCAATCCTTTTAGTGACATATAAAGTCCCAACATGCATGCCTTCTGCTATACAAAGCATTAATTAGTTCACCCAAAAGCATGGAAATGAGGAAAAACTCCTAGAAAGCATTTACTAGGAATACTATTCAGAATCAGATTATTTTATTTATCATATTGGGAATTGCCAATCTAAAGTTGTTTTGTTGCCATAGAGCTCCATGGTTCTACACTGTTACACTAGGTAACATGTTCCTTTATTAGCCTACTGTGAACACACCCACACACACTGTAGCCCCAAAAGTGGATTATTCTGCTGCTGAAAACACTCCCCATTTATGCACAATTGTCTTCTGTTTGTGTGATACTAGAGTTTAAACTGGTGCAGTGACCACATCTTTTTTAAGACCGACCCTGAAGTTAGCATGGCAAAGACTCCCTTGACTAAAAGCAAGGGGATAGCAAAAATATGTAAAATTGAAAACAAACACTTTTTGTATCAGCAGGATAATCTGGCTATAAACAAACTACAGCATGGTCACATGACTTCACATCAGCTAAGCTAAAGGCGGCTAAAGTTCAGCGTGATAACGTTTAGTAGTTTATTTAGTCTTGGTAGAAACCAAAGCTTTTATGTTGCAAATGTATTATCTTTTCAATTTACACACGGCATCTATTGCACGTCTGTCCGTCCTGGGAGAGGGATCCCTCCTCTGTTGCTCTCCCTGAGGTTTCTCCCATTTTTCCCTTAAACTGTGGGTTTTCTCCGGAAGTTTTTCCTTGTACGATGTGAGGGTCTAAGGACAGAGGGTGTCGTATTGTCATACTGATATTTTGTACAAACTGTAAAGTCCACTGAGACAAATGTAACATTTGTGATATTGGGCTATATAAATAAACATTGATTGATTGATTATGACTCATAGCTTCAGACATTCACCCAAAACATTTCTTCAGACCTTATTTCTGGGATCTAGACAAAAACACATTCAAAACACCCCTGAAATTGAAATGAGGATACAGGAAGTGGTAACTCATTTCTGGGTTTTAGCACTCATTCCTGCACCACTCTATCAAGAGGTAGATTTCAACTCTTTATGTTCTCTCTCCAAAAATAATGAAAAGACTTGAAAGGTGACACATCACATTTGCAGAAGAGTGATAGGAGTAAGCTTTAACCTCCAAGAAATTTGCACAACTTTCCTGCAAGAAGTGGAAGTAGGAATAGAAAGTGGAAGTGATTAAAGGAAAATAATCGTCCTTCTCATGAATTAAAGAGACACAACATTTGACACAACACGGCCTGTGGAGAACTTCATGCATTTCAATAGCAGTGAGGCCTCTCACATCCACATGACTGCATGGCCTCTGGGTGACCCACTCAAAACACACACACACACACACACACACACACACACACACACACACACACACACACACACACACACACACACACACAACACACACACACACACACACACACACACACACACACACACACACACACACACACACACACACACACACACACACACACACACACACACACACACATGCAGGGCTACAGTGAGGAATGTAGCGGGGGTTTCCGGGTGTCTCCGTGACCCGTTGACCTTTTGAGAGCCTTTGGGACATCTAAACACGTAAACACACTCCTCCTCCTCCTCCTCCTCCTCCCCATATTCATCTCCCTCTTCTGGTTCTGGAGCCTGGGTGGCAAGCTCAGTCATCACCTCATCACACACACTGGACAGCACCCTCCCTCAGATCCCCTACACACACCAGTTGTTTTCTCATTGTGTCTTGCCTGCAGTTAGCTCTTCTCCACATTTACTGGTATCCCAACTAGCAAGAAGAGTTCAGATGCCACATACTATCCACCTCTCCACATAAAGGACACTGCTTCTTGCGTTGGCACTGGACCTTGGCAATAGAAGGCATTCATGATTTGTGGAATTGGCCCATACTACCGTAAATAGGAATACTCTGCTGGAATTAAATAAATCTGCTATATCCTTTAAAACATATGCTAAAATGTAGTCTCTGCAATCATCTGTTTCTGTTTCTTCATGTCTTTAACACAAAAACAAAAACAAATAAGGAGCTAAACCTACTTGGCACTAAAAATGACCATGACAGTTAACTCTAATCTGTTCATTGATGATCTCAAGTAAAAAAATAGATGTTATGCTATATAAAAGAAAATGTTCTTCCCAATGGAAACGCTGTACACTGAGATTTGTAAAGGCAACCTCAAAAGTCCAGAAAAACACTACCAAGGAATGCAGAGCTGAACAAGGCCGATTTCTTCTAGAGAGCATACCAATTCTGCAAACACCTACACCTAAACAAAGAGTGAACCTGAACAATAGAACACGTTTCATGATCAAGAGAAAAAGGAAAATAGCAATAACTATTGGACATGTTCAAACAAACAAACACATGTCAATGTCATTTGGTTATAGACATACACAACTCATTTGTGTTCGGGCGGCAGACAGCCTATCCATTTTTAAGAGTACGCTTCAGACCTTCCTTTTTGATAAAGCTTATAGTTGATAAAATAATCTAATAAGAGTGCATTGACGTAGACACGTTGTGCCTCTTCACCTATACATCTCAGTTCTTACTCTTTTCCCTCACTGATGGTATGTCATTTGGTTGTGTGTGTAGACGGTGGAAGCAGGGAGAGGCATATACGTGCCTTGATCCCTGCCGAGTCGACGCACAACTGCTGATTGGTGTCAGTGCCAACAACTTTTTTTCATTAGTCAGTTTATTGAACATGTCAGAAACAAAAACATAGAACAATAATATATATATATATATTCTCTTTTTTTCCTTTTTTTTTTTCTCACTCAAATTAATAATTATAACAAAGTACAAAAAACAAATAATAATAACAACAACAAAAAACAACAATAATTCTCAAATAGTCTCTGTCATGTTCAACAGGGGCAAGAAGAAGCTTTAAAAAACTTTTCTGGTCCTACCCCCTCTAGCATATATTTTTCTTATAAATAAACTATTAGGTCATCGTCATCAGCGACATGTTTGTCTTTGCTTTTTGTTTTTTTACAAAACAATCAGAAAGAAATTACTTTTACAATTACAAGAAATAACAACAAATGGGATTTTACAGGTCCTGTTCATAACCATTAATGATTTGGCTCCTAAATAATACTTTCAGTTTATACTTGTGCAATATTTCAGTGCATCATTACAGTTATTCCACAGACTAACACCTTTTGATGAGATGCAATGAACTTTGGCATTTGTTCGTACGGGTGGTTTTTTGAAAATGCAGTTTCCTCTCAACATGTGCATGCTTTCTCTCCGTGTGAAAAGTCCCTGGATATTATGAAGGTAATTGTTGATTTGCGACTTTGAACATAATTTGAATAGTTTTATAGTCAACCAGGTCTTGTAGTTTTAGTGTTTTTAGTTTGATGAATAATTTATTAGGCTTTATTCAGAATTGCTATTGATTTGGATATTTTGGCTTTGATATAGCTTATATGTGGTTTCCAACTTAATTTATTGTCTATGATTACTCCAAGGAATTTTATTTCCGATACTCTTTCTAATTGGACGCCATTTATAGTGAGTTTCTTCTCTGTATTGGTCGATCGATTCCCAAATATTATGAGTTTGGTTTTGCTTGCGTTCAATGTTAATTTATTTTGGTCAAACCAGATCTTCATCCTGCTCAGTTCCTTCTCCATTGTGACCAATAGCTGTTCTAAATCCTCCCCACAGCACAGTAGACTTGTGTCGTCTGCAAAAAGAATGGTTTTTAATAGTTTTTGATACTTCACATATATTGTTAATATACAGAATAAATAGTAATGGCCCCAAGACTGAGCCCTGAGGCACCCCACATGTAACCTGCAGTAGTTGTGATGTACTGTATGGCTTTGTAGTTCAACTCAGTCATTTAGTCTTGTATAGTAGATTTTTTCCAGTATTTTAGAAAACTGTGAGAGCAATGACATTGGTCTATAGTTTGACAGTACATGTTTATCTCCAGATTTATGTATTGGTATGACTTTAGCAGTTTTCATTTTATTTGGAAATACACCGGTTTGTATTTACTGATTACAGATGTGAGTTAGTGGTTTACATTCAATAATGTTTTTAACTGTATACATGTCAATATCATGACAATCTGTAGACCTTTCACTCTTAAGTTTTTTAAATGTGTCAATAATTTCATTTTCATCAGTCCCTCTTAAG